CATGGGAGAATGGCTGGATGCGAGTGGCATGCCCTCGGCACCCTCCCGCCCACCCACCCACTCGCAGTGCGCGGCTTCCTGCTCAACTTTGGGGTCTACCATGCGGCGCGCGCCGCCCTGGGCCTGCCCTTTGCCTGGAACCCATCCATCACGTGAGCTGGGGCTGTGCGGGGAGTTTGAGGGCAGGGCTGGGCAGGGCAGAGGAGCAGGGCTTGGGGCATGACGCGCTTGTGATGCATTCTGATGCTTGCTTGCTGTGCTGCCGGAGTTCCACAGTTCCTGCCCTCCTGCATGTCCTATCGCCGCAGCTTCATCACCTGCTTTGTCACACTGTTTGCTGTCGTCATCGCCATCACCAAGGACCTGCCGGACATCGAGGGCGACAAGCAGTTTGGCATCGAGACCTTTGCCACCCGCATGGGCGTGCGGTGAGCATGTGGTGGACTTTTGAGCTGGTTTCGGGTGGTTGTTTGTCGCCATTGTCGTCCCGTCTCACATGATCAACTGGTCGTGTGGCCCCCACTTCCTGTTGCCATCCCACTTGCCTACCTGCCTCATCTGCCGTGCAGGCGCATCGCCTTCTTGGGCACTGGGCTGCTGCTGGCAAACTACATGGTGGCGGTGGTGGCCGCGCTGCGCCTGCCTGCCGTGTTCAACCCGTGGACCATGGGTGCGGCGCACGCGCTGCTGGGCGCGGTGCTGCTGTACAAGACCGTGAAGCTGGATGCGGCCAAGTACAGCCAGCAGGGGATCAAGGACTACTATGCGGCCATCTGGTGAGGGGGCCAGCCTGGCGCGGGACTGGAGCTGCAGCTGTGGCCGGCTGGCTATGGGTGGCAAGAGGGTCATGACCGAGTGCCAATTGTATGATTTATGTCACCTGTCTGGCTCTGTGCCATGCCCTGCACCCCCTGCAGGCTCAATTTTTACTGCGAGTACCTGCTTTTGCCCTTCCTGGGCGTGCGCTGAGGCCCGGCCCAGGCGGCATCACCAGCTGCCTTAACACTGCGAGAGCTGGCGCTGAAGTTTTGTCTGATTTTCTGCACTGTGGGACTTGTCTAATGCCGAGTGCTGCCTTTGAAGCTTTGCCATTCTTTCATCTGCGACTGCCTGCTGCCTGACGCTGTTCGCCCATTTATATTGTCCCGCTCCATCTTTCTTGGTTCGACAGCGACGAGGCCCGTGTTACACTGGACCATAGGTGCAGATGCATGTGCAGCATGTGTATGTACGGAGGAATAGGAGGCAGGTAGGTTCATTCAGGGAGCCAGCAACTGGTGCCAGGTGGGACATGGTGAACGAGCCCATGGATGCTGGCAGAGCTGGCAGGTGTTGCTAAATTGTTGAGCGCATTGGAGCAGAAGCAAAAGTGCGGGGAAAGAATGGGCATGGGGAAAGAGCCGGCCGGAAGCAGTCCAAAGCCGGCGGCCGTTTTGGGAAGAAGGCGGCACAGTGGAGGGAAGAGCTGACCAATGCAGGGCGCTAGTGTTCTTCGTACTCCACAGCTCAACCACTCCACAGCTGGTGCACACAAGAGAAAGACCAAACCACCAAGGTGTGGCCTGATAGTATTGTTCAGGGTGTGAGCGCAGGGTGACGTGACTGAAGGGAAAACAGATCAGCACCTGGAACAGGTGAAGCAACTCGCCCGCCTGCTGCGCCGCGTGGGCAAGGCAGCCAACAGAAGGCCCAGGCTATGGTATACAGGGAAGAGGGGCGGTGCGCAACCCACAGCCCGCTCAGGCTGAGCTGGGGCTAGTGGGCTCGCCTGCGCGCCAGGTGGTGCGGGCGCGCACCAGCTCGGTACACGCCTCGCCCTGGCAGCGGCGCAGCACGTGGACAAAGCTGAGGGCATCAGGGCCGGCGCCATTGCACGCCAGCTTGTCGTGTGTTGCTGCAGCGGGCAGGTGATGCAGGCACGGCAGCAGCTGTCAGCTGTCATTGTACTCGCAAGCACTACAGGGCACCAAAACCCTGTAACCAAACTGCTGGCTGGCAGCCCCAATACAGGGCTGCGATGAAGATGACCGACATGCGCAACACACAGACACAGGCAACAACAGCGGGGGAGAAGGCAGAGCAGCACGCAGATGTGGCTCACCGCAGCGCGCCGCCAGCGACTCCACCAGCTCCCCGCTGTGGCACTCCGCCTTGAAGTCAACCTCCATCTGCAGCGCAAAGGGAAGAGCAGCCAGCATGATATGGATGCCCGCGGAACAGTCCTGGGCCAGGTCGGAACGAGCAGCTTGGCGGCACCTGGGAACACATGCACCGCTCCACAGCGGCCCCTACTACTTCTGCGAGCATATCCCGCCCCCGGGGCTGGTTCCCGCCGTGCCGACCCTCCCTCGCACCTGGTACAGGTGGCATCCGTAATAGACGTCGCGCGGCACCGTCTCCATGGCCCAGGCCAGGTAGGTCACGTTGTTGACGTGGCCGTTCATGTCCATGTCAGTGCGACGCGCCACCTGCACCGGCCCCACAATCTGCAGAGCAGCGGGACGCAGCGCAGGGATGGTTGAGAAGCAGGGGACGGAGGCAAGGCTGGGGCGTCGGCACTGTTCTCAAGGGCAGCCGATACAGTGGCGGCGCTACAAATGCCGTGTGGTGAGGACGCTCCTGCTTCCACCCCTCCCCGTCCCCTGCACACCTCTGCGGGCAGGCTGAGGTCTGGCAGCTTCTGGCGGGTGCAGTCGCGCGGGATGGAGTGGCGCGGCGGCTGCAGCTGGAAGGCCTCGCACTTCTCGCGGATGGGCGGCGGCATCTTGCTGAGGCGCCGCGTCTGCATGTTGATCATGACCCAGGTGCTGGTGCCGCGCCCCAGCTCGCGCCCGCTGGCCTTGTCGGTGATGCGAAAGTCGCGCTGCGCCAGCAGCTTGCCGTCCTCCTGGAACCAGGTGTTGATCTGGATGACGTCGCCCCTGCAGGGCAGGCCAACGCGAGGAGCGGACAGGTGAGTTGTATGTTAGCAGCAACGGGGAGCAGGTGGGCACCACCGCAACGATGCTAGCACCCCTTTCACAATCATGCGCCCCGCCCCTGCGGGACCCACCAGCGCGGGTACTCCTCCATCTGGATCTGCATGCGTGTCATCACAAAGATGAGGCCCGCCATGCCCGGGTCGGAGGCAAAGCCCTCGGTGCTGCGCCCCCACATCGCCACCGCGTGGTTGCCGGCCGCCTCTTGAAGCAGCGTGGCGATGGAAATCATGCTGGTGCGCTGGTCAGGGCCCACCTCGTTGCCACGAATCCTGCAGGGCGGCGGGGAAGGGGAAGAGGCAGCAGAGGAGCAGTTGGGTTTGGTTGGCCCAGCAAGAGACGGCGGGCAGACGGGCGCTGAACCCTGCTGCGCCATACGGCGGCTGTTTGGCTGCCTGACTTGACCCAGACGCTTGTCTAGGCTGCACTGGCCAGGGTAGCTTAGCACAGCGCAGGCGGAGAGCACTGGCGTAGCCGACCAGCTGCGGCGCCAGATTGCGGCGGGCCGCTCCACACCTGTGCGCCTCCACAAACATGCGATTGTCCTCAGTCAGGCGGCTGGCGATCATGGCTGGGAAGACCTCTACGTGCGGCTGGGGGCGGGTGCTGGCCGCCTCTGGGGCTTCCGGCTCGGCCGACGGCCGCGCCCCAGCCACCGCGTGCACCGCGGTGGGCTGGCGGGGCGTCGCCGCCGCTGGGGCTGCTGGGGCGGCGCGCCGGCTGCTGCCCGCCCTGCTGCTGCAGGCTGCGGGCCTGGCTAGTGAAATGCTGGCGGCCACGGCAGACATGATGCGCCAAGGTGGGTGGACACAGGGGCAGGCGCGGGTCCCCTACCAGGTGGCGGTGGAGGTGGAACAGCACCAGGATTCCATCAGGAGTGGCGCTTGGGTGCAACATTCTGGCAAGCGTGCCAGTGTGGCGTTGACGCCTTTTCCAACCCGAGGCTGATCGGCGATGTCTGCTCGGATTTACATCACTGCCATCGATCAGAGCAGGTTGCAGAGCGGGTTAGGCCTGTGGCGATCACTCCTCGCATGTTGACAAACATTCCTCGCTCGGAGCTCCAAAGAGCTCAATCAAAGCGCAAATTCACTCAGCCTACAGCGCCAATGCGGCAGCGTAACTGCGGGTCGGGTCACAGGAAGTTGCTACCGCCGCTGCTGGCCTCCCACAGGCAGCGCATGCGCCGCTGCTGGTCTCGCGTCCTTGAAGTAAAGCGCTGAAATCGTTTGGCATGCTCTAGGAGAGCTCCAACCGCTCGAGTCGCGCCATAACTGCCGCCGCTGCTGCACGCGGGTCGCTGCCCCCCGTATGCCCTTGCAGCGAATGCGCCTTGATACCCACCCAACCCAGTGCCGGCCTTCAAAGATACCCTTGCAGCACACGTTGCAGGAACTTGAACAGCGGCCGGTTGTTCCTGTACTTCTCCAGCGCACTTCGGTTGTCGAGAACCTCAGACACGGCCTTCATTGCCTGCGGCCAGGCAGCAAGTGGCAGGGCAGCAGTTGTTGCGATCGAGGCATCGCAGCGTTACTCGAGCTGCGCGGATGCACAGTCGCCAGCAACTCACCTCTGGATCCATCGATCCAGCCAATAGCTCGGGGTCGTTCTCCAGATCCTCTGGCGTCAAATAGGGGACCGACGCGAACTAAGACCGGAAGGGAGAAGGCAGGGAACACGGGCGGAGAAATGGAGGAGAGGAGGAGGGAGGGAGGAAATGATTGTCAAATCAGCAGCTCCACTCAATCACCCCAGCGCCTCCCCTCCTCATACAACAGTGCCTCGCCAACGCATGCAATGGGTCATGGGCGTGTGGCAGCCCCCAAAGCACCTTGTGCCGCCAGGCTTGCTGATACATGGCCAGCTGATTCGGGTCAGACGTGCGCTCTTCTTGCTCAATCATCCGCCTCATCTCTGCGAGTTCGTTCCCCAGCCTGTGAGCCAGCAACACCCAGCAGCAGCCGAAGAATGGGACGGTGGTTGTGGGTATCAGGTGCTTGCACCATTGCGGCAACGCATGGAAAGCACATACGCCGCCTCCAGCTGCTCACCCGCTCAGCACCAAGTCCCAGTTGGTGCTTGCATTCAGCCTGCATACAGCAGGTTAATGTTGGCTTGTTTCAGCATGAGTCAAGATGGTGGCTGGAGTGGCAGCACTAGGGTATGTCACAGCGGTGAGCTCGCTCGCCACTAGGCGGCACGAGGCAGCACTCGCTGTGGCACTAGTTGCATGCATGGCATACATTTGAATGTTTTGCTGCCGCAGTAGCCAGTTGCCAAGCTCGTCATCTGAAAGCTTGATTCGTGCCTGGATGATGCGCATCTTCTCACCCATCTTCTCCAGCTGGTCCTGAGGGCAGACAGCACGGCACGATGGGCGTAGCACAAGCAAAAGCGCAATGTAGCAATGCAGGGTAATACCGCTGTCATCTTACTACAAATATTTTTTTCCCCTCCAGATCAAAGTCTGCAAATTTGTGCATCATGACTATCAGCTGCTGCAGATCCTGCTGCAAGCTGCAGGGCAGAGAGGAAAAATTTGTCCAGTGAAAATGTGACGACCTCTGCTGTCCTTGATCCACAACGCCCCGCACAAGACACACGCACTCTATGAACTCCTTCATGAAGATCTCGGAATTAAAAAGCTTGCTCTGTGAAAAGTTGGGCATATCTGAAGATTCCGGGAAAGCCTGCAGCGCGGATCCCTTTCTGGGCGCCCACCGCCGCAGCTGCTGCCCGTGCACCCGCTGAGGCAGTGGACGCCGAAAGCTCGCCGCGCCCCCCCCTGCGCCCCGGCATGGCGCTTTAGACCACCCGGGCGCATGTTGCTGCCCCACGGCGCCGCACAGCGCCCCCTGGGGCTGTGTGTGGGAGAGCATGGTGACCGACGGCCTCCCAGGTCGTCGATATGCGCCCTTGGCAGTGGGACGGATTGTTGCTTGCGGTGGTAGGGTGCTGCAATGCAGAGATTTGGGGACCACTGCCACCTCAGCAAACCCTCGCAATTGACAATACAGTAGACAAAGACACTATCTAACATCGCCTCTTGCTGCATGTCACTGGGAGATTGCCGGTTCCGAGTGGGCGTGATCAGCTGCCCATCTCGCCATGACAGCGGCTTCTGAGCTCGTGCTGGACCGGGAAGTGCGGGACTGGGTGCTGATCCCCCTCACGGCCTGCGTGATGCTGATGCAGCTGCTGCGCCAGTATGTCACAGCGGTGAGCTCGCTCGCCAGGCCACAAGGGCCCCTGCCAAGCCGACATTGCTGCCTGGACGAGCGGTGCATGCACAGAAAGGGCCCAAAGGCGCTGGCCATCGAGTAGAGTCTGCCGCCGCCGGCCGTCGCCCCACCCCCGCACCATGCCCGTCTTGCTGCAGCTGATGGCGGGCAACAAAGCGCCAGTGGACCCCTCCAAGGGGACCAGCGAGGTCAGCCAGAAGATGGCAGTGGCGCGGTCCACGCTGCTGCGCGCCAACGGTGGCTTCATCCCGGAACCCGGCTTCCGCCAGCGCAAGCAATACTTTGCCGCAAAGGTAGGGTAGGGGCCTTTGGCGCTGCTGCAAAGCCTTTCGCTGCAACAACCAGCTGTTGGCACTTCATCTACAGCATTCGGCTTGGTACCTGGCTGCCTGCCCCTGCCCCCTTCCATCCCACAACCCCCCAACGTGTGCCACACATGTGCAGGACACTGGCGTGCTGAACCAGAAGATCGAGGCCAAGGGCATGCAGGAGATGATGATGACCAACCCCGACTTCATGCAGGGCATGATGAAGCAGCAGCTGGGCGGCCTGCTGCCGCAGGTGCGGTAACGGTCAGCCCTGTCTTTATAGCAGAGGCGAGAGAGGGTCACGGCTGATCGATGCTGCTGCAACCTTGATGCCCAGCTGTGTGGCCCGCCTCCATGCTGCGCGCCAGCCTGACCCGGCCTGCTCCACGCTGCTGGCGCCACCCCGTCTGGCGCCGTCCATGCTGACCCCCTTGTTTGCCCCTGCGCAGCTGGCGCTGGGCGCTCTGGTCAACTTCTTCTTCTCCGGCTTCATCCTGGGCCGCATCCCCTTTGCGCTGTCCCCCAAGTTCCGCATCATGCTGCAGCGCGGCATCGACCTGCCCTCCCTGGACCCCTCCTACTTCACCTCCCTCTCCTACTACATCCTGCTGCTCTTCGGCCTGCGCGGCGTGCTGACCCTGATGTTCAGGTAGGCCTCCTCAGCGCCAGCAGGGCCACGACTGGCTGGCCTGGCGCTGCCACTGCAACCGCGACTGGGGCTGCGCTTTGCGGGTGGCTCGATCTGGCCCACTGGGCTCCCCCTGGCCCGCACCCCGACAGGGAGAAGGCCATCAACGACGCGCAGCAGATGATGCAGATGCAGCAGTCGATGCAGATGGGGCCTATGGGGCCCATGGGCTTCGATGCCCAAAAGGCGTTTGATGCGGAGCAGGCGGCGCTCAACCTGGTGAGCCCGCCACGCCAGCCCCGGAAAGGCGATGTCTGCATGCTTCTGTGGTTTTGCACTCTGTGCAGCTGTGTTGCTGGTGATGGGCGGGGTTGCCGATGGCTGGAGGCTGGGCTTCTGCTGGCTGACCCGGCCGGCGTTGTGTGGCGTAGGCGGAGCACAAGTGGCGGCTGGAGGGCAGCGAGGCCCGCGCGGTCAAAGTGCTGCGCACGCAGCTTGGCGGCAAGTGATGGTCTAACAACACGGTACACGCCTTGTACATTTTTTGGCACTGGTGTAAGGAGTAAGCAGTACTTAGCACAAGGGAAAAGCAGCAGCAAAACGCATAAAGCGACGATTGCAGAATGAAATATGGGCTGAACACCAATTGCCGGTGCCTCGCATGCATGTCATCTATTCTACACATGCTACCCAAAACTCCTCACACGGTCTCCTGGTTCCGAACATACTGCTGCACTGAGCCGCCATCCCGCACCGGCACTGAGAATTCGGCGCCATCTCGCCTGCCAGCCAGCTTGCTGTCCACTGCCGCTGCTAGTGCTGCCGCCTGTGCTGCCTGCACCTCTACCACACCCTCTGGCGGCCCGTAACCACCCCCTCCGGGTGTCAGAATCTTGATCCTGTCACCACCATCCACCTGCACGGTTTCTTTGGCGCCCAAGCTGACCACCCGGCCGTTGCGCTTGACCCACAAATTGACGCCCGCTGCCGCAGCGCCGCCACCCAGCAGGCCAAAGGGCCGCACCGCGCGCCGCTCCGACAGGATGCTGGCGGTGAGGGGCCGCAGGAACTCCAGCTCACGAACCACGCCGTCGCCGCCATGATACCGCCCCACGCCCCCGGTGCCTGCGAGAAGCAGCAGCAGGAGAGCTTTAGGCAATGTCACATACAGCCACTGACAAACAACCACCAGTACCAGGCGTGGCTGCACAGGTAGCGTGACTGGGTGATCCAAGGCGCCAGGGGCTGCCAGCCAGCCCACCTGGGCGCAGCCTGAACTGGTGCAGCACCACGGGGTACCGGCGCTCAAGAATCTCTGGGTCGGTGATGCGTGTGTTGGTCATGTGGGTGTGCACGCCGCTGCAGAAATGAGCACAGGCAGGGTCATCAAGGGAGGTAAGGCGGCGGCCAGGTGATGCCCGGGCGCTGCTGCTGGAAGCACATATGCTGGTGAGACGTAGAGCCTGAGTGGCGCACCTGCGGCCGTGCCAGCCGGGGCCCGCCCCGGCGCCACCGGCGATTGTCTCATAGTAGCCCATCCCCTCGTCGCCAAATGTAAAGTTGTTCATGCAGCCCTGCAGACATAGATGCGAGGAAGATGGGTGTGGCTATAACAGCCACTGTGACACCAGGATCCGCGCAACTGGCTCAGTCGACTTGCCTGTGAGGCTGCGGCTGCATTGAACGCCTTCAGCACCACATCCGTCACTCGCTGGCTTGTCAGCACGTTGCCGCCCACCACGGCGGCATCAGGGGAGGGGGACAGCAATGATCCTGCAAAAAACCACAGACCTGATGTCGTGAGCAACCAGCAGCAACACCACACCCATTCACCAGCTCACAGCCACAACAGCATGGAGAGCAGCAGGAGCGTGCCTGGCGGTATGCAGACTGTGATGGGGGCCATGCAGCCGTGGTTGAGCGGAATGTCTCGTGTCACCATGCAGCGCAGGCTGTAGATGATGGCAGAGTGGGTCACCGCCGGCGGCGCGTTGGTGTTGCCAAACACCTGCGGGCCCGTGCCTGCAGCAGGCAGAGGAGCGGTGGGGGCAAGGCGCCAACTTTGGCACTCCTGCCCAGCAGTTGCTGTTGCCCAGGTTGGCACGCCAAGCCCTCCAGCTGGCAGGCAGCCCCACCGTCAAAGTCAAACACAGCGCTGCCGTCGCGCCGGTCAATGGTAACCGACAGGCAGATGGGCGTGCCGTCGTCCATTTGATCGCGGGTGGACACGGTGCCCACCTGGCAGAGGGCAGGAAGGGGTGCAAGGGCGCCAGGGCAGCTGATGATCCCATGGCAACAAGCATAATGCTGCGGCACCGGATCGAAAGGACACGTTTGCGGCGTTCTCCCCACAATCGAGGCGCCGGCTGGGCCACACCTCTGCCAGGCCCTGCTCGTGTGAGAACGCCACCAGCATCTCGCGCACGGCATGCTCGGCATTGGCCTGCAGCATGGCATGCCAGCAGCAGGCACTTCGGATGTGCGCTGTGCTGTCTGACACCACAAAACATGGGCATGATTCAGGCGCCAACAGGAGGCGGCCAGCCTGGCACCTGCCAGCTGGCGCTGACCTGGATGTGCGCCATGTACGCCTGCACCACAGCCAGCCCGTACTCGCCAATCAGGTCGGCCACCAGCGCAATCCCCTTTGTGTTTGCAGCCACCTACAAGGCAGCGACAGGGCAGGGGAGAGAGCGTAGAAGTGAGGCGTCATACAAATGATTCCCTGGGCGGTGCAGACACAATACGGGACAGGGATCTACAGCAGCTGGAATCAGTCAAGTGGATGCGAGCCAGCCTGCCCCAAGCACCTGCGCCTTGAGGTCTGACAGGTTGTCCTGCAGGTTGCGTGTGCCGCTGACACCCGCCAGTCCGCCCGGCAGCCCCGGCGCCAGCAGCAGCGCGGTGATGCCCTCCTCATCAAACACGCCGCCATGCACCAGCTTAAAGGAAATGATGGCAGCGCCCTCCTCTGCCAGGAGGTGAGAGTGGGGCGGCATGCTACCGGGCGAGATGCCACCTATGTCTGCAGGGGGGGTGTGGGACGGGAGGCCAGCAGCAGTCTCCAGCCCAGGCGACCAATTGAGCAGGTGTGAAGAGGGTGGATGGCAGGGCAAGGCATCATGGTGGCGTGGATTGCGGGTGCAGCATGCATGAGCGGTGTCCATCCCAAAGGGGCACAGCAGTACCTGCGTGGTGGCCGCGAGAGGCGACAAAGAAGACAATGCTGCCCCCATCAAACACGGGCGTGATCACTGTGATATCTGGCAGGTGGCTGCCGCCTGCCAGCTGCGGGTGGTTGGACACCAGCACGTCGCCCTCCTGCAGAAGCGACAGACGCGTCTCGCTGCTGGGACTCGTGGGGCCTACCACAGTGCCACAACTGCCCCCTCCCACCTGCAAGCCGTCAGCCGCGCCAGGTCCGCCGCTGGCATAGTGCCGGATCTGGTATTTGACAGCCTCAGACATGGCACCCAGGTGCACCGGCAGATGAGGCGCATTGGACACCAGGTTGCCTGCAACCGAGGAAAGCAGTAGGAGTGTGTTAAGATCGGTAGCACACCCAGGTGTCCATGGCCTGCTGAGAACACGCATACCACGGCTATCTTGCCAAGCCAGCCTGCCATACGGTCCTCCCAGCCCCCCGAGCACACCATGGGCATCAAAAAGTGCGCAGGAGAAGTCAAGGCGCTCCTTGATGTTGACGGATATGGAGGTGCGCTGCAGAACACGCCCCATCTGCTCCGCAATGCCCATGAACCTGCGGGTGGGGAGCGGGGGAGCGCACGGGCACGCCGCTCACGTTTCGCTGCTGGATGAAGTCTCTGGGTGGACTTTGTGACAAGGGCCAAACCTGCACTGATGCGTCCTCCCTCCAACCACACACAGACCCACCCACCGGTGGGAGAAGATTGCCAGCTGGATTGGGTCACACTCGGTGTCTGATGACACATGCTGCTGCTGCCGCTGGCCCAGCTCTATGCGCACATCGCGGCTGGCGGTGATGTGGGCGGTCCAGCCGGGCTCCACCACAATCGTGCTGATGTCGTCTATGAGCATGACGGGGCCTGCACCACAGGCAGGCAGGGCCAGAAAAGGCTCAAATCGGAAAGGATTGGACAGGACCCTGGACAGAGAAAGGAAGAGCGGGGGGGGGGGGGGGGGGGGGGGGGGGGGG